TCATAATAACTGCGATATTTAAAAATCTCAGATAAATAGAAATATATATAGGAAGGTTTTGTTTTAATACTTAATATTCTCTTCTACAGTCACGGAAATGCAAACTGTTAGTAAAATCCCAGTAAATCATCGTTCCTCGTCCGTCAGATCTTTTCTCGTACTCCTGTTGAGACAATTTCTTCAGATTGGCCGTTATATTTGATTCTCTGTATTATATTCTAATCTATCTATCTATCTATCTATCTATCTATCTATCTATCTATCTATTGATCAAGCCTATTGATCGAGTCGTGTTTTATCTATCTATTTCAGCTTGTTCATATCTATCTATCTATCTATCTATCTATCTATCTATCTATCTATTGATCAAGTCTATTGATCGAATCTATTGATCGAGTCGTGTTTTATCTATCTATCGAATCGTATCTATCTATCACAGTCTTTTCATTATCTTTCTATCTATCGATAGATCGATCAATCAAGTGTGTGTATATCTATCTATCTATCTATCTCAACTTGTTCATATCTATCTATCTATCTATCTATCTATCTATCTATCTATCTATTTCCTTTTAATGCATTTCAACCCAAGCAAGGCAGTAAAGGCCAGTAAGATACAAGGGTTTACTGGGTGTAGAAGAAAAAAGAAACATTAGTGAGTAACGAGAACCAAAGGAGAGTAATGAGAAAGACAGTAGAAAGCGTTGGCATTGCATTTCAATTTTTGAAGATTAAAGTCTTCTGGAGAGAATGGGACCGGAATGCAGTGTCACGAGCAATAAATGCGAAAACTGTTAGCATAGAATTTAAGGTTCCATCTAAACCAACTCAACTTTAAATTAATGAGACCTTGACACCAATCTAGTACAGCACATAAATTCATAAAGTTTACTTATCCTGACGAAGAGTTCATCTGAACAGTCAACATGGATGTACTTCTATCCGGTCGTTTTTCAAGACGAACAGATAATGTCCAAGTTTCTGATCCATACAGTAGAACCTGTTCGATCAATGTTTGAAAGGTTTGGACTTTCAAAAAGGATGGAAGGTTCGACCGCAAAATCTTGTGAAGTTTGTGATATGGGATCTTAACCATAATAATAATAAGGGACTATTCCATACTTAATAAATTCTGCGTCTCAGGAGTAGGCAAGGAGTCCGTCTCTCAAGTCTTGAGCGACGGTTCAGTTCAACTCTCTGTCTTCGGAGAGGTAAGACCGGCCCTGAACCCGTTTATACGGGTTCAAATGGGCTATTTTTTGGTCGAGCCTAATGGCTTGGGAATTGCCCACGTTAAAAAGGCCTTGTGCCACATGACGCCCTCGTGGGGGGACGACTAAATATAGTCCGTCGCTGAAGTCTTGAACGACAGATCGGTTGAACTCTCTGCCTTCGGGCGGGGAGGAACCCGAAGGAGGCTACGGCGAAGGAGGCTACGCCGAAGGAGGCTACGGCGAAGGGCGGAGTCTCTTTCGGGGAGGTAAACCGACCCTGAACCCGTTTATACGGGTTCAATGGGCATATTTTTGGCCGAGCCCACAGGCTCGGAGAGCCCACGTTAAAAAGGCCTTGTGCCACATGACGCTCTCGTGGGGAGGGTGACTGAATATCATCAGCAGTTCAAGTCGAGTCAAGAGTCGAGTCAGAGGCAGTCCGAAACAGAGTGGCGTTCAGACAATTACTGCCAGACATTGGAATAGTGATACCGGTCGAGACTACATTGTTCTCTCTACTAAACCTGATTGTTCATACTAACACTTCTACTTCTCTGTATATATTCCTGTTTGTAATATATCTGTGTTATTCCATACCTGTGTTCGAGTTCTTCTTTATTGGTTCTACCTTGGACTATCACCGTCGTACAAGGAACCGGACCATAACAGTTTGTTTAACGCATCCCACGCAAGAGCTTTGCAGATTTTAGGGGAATCTATTATGTGAGATCCAAGATATTTGAAGTACTGAACTCTTTTGATGGATGTATTAATGAGTAACTTCAATTCGGGTTGTCCTGGAAGGTTGTGATATATTTTCCCCTTACTCATATTGCGATAGAGACCGTCCTGGTCCGATTCTTATTCGAGTGATTCCAGCAAGGATTGCATAATTACTGGGTGTAGCAGGGATAGAAACAGAAATATTGATAAAGAGCGAAAAGAAAAGAAGAGTAATGCTGAGGTCAGTAGATAGCGATTGACATTGCATTTAAATTTTTGCAGATTAAAGTTGGCTGGAAAGCATGGCGCCGGTAGGGAGTTCCTCAAGCGAGAAGTGCGAGAAAAGAAACTTTTACCATAAAACTTACGACTACATCTAGCCAGCTCACCTGTAAATTGATGAGATCTTGACGTCAGTCTAGTGCTGCACTTAAATTCAAAAAGTCTAGGTACCATAGCTCATCCGAACAAATACCTTGAAAGTATTTATAAAAAAAAGACACAGAGAGGCAACGTAAATATGACCTGAAGGTTTTTCTTCTCGTGGATTTTAGCACTTTTTAAAAAATCGAAATCACCCCAAACAAGGCAATAAAGCCACTAAGACACAAGGGGTTAAAGGGTGTGAAAGAATTAAGAACAGAAACATTAATGACGCGTGGAAAGAGAAAAGAGTAATCAGGAGGACAGTAGATAGACGATTGATATTGCATTTAAATTTTTGCAGATTAAAATTAACTGGAATGCATGTAGCTGGAATGGCGTTCCACAAGCCAGAAGTGCAAGAGAAGAAACTCTTAGCATAGAACTTACGGCTACATCTAGCCAGCTTAACTTTAATTTGATGAGATATTGATGTTAGTCTAGTGCTGTGCTTAAATTCAAAAATCTATGTCTAGAAAAAACACAGAGAATCAAACTTGCGGCGGCGGGAAAGTAACTGTTTCCTTCCTAACTTTTTGTTTAAGATAGTGCGGAACACTAACACCTTGATTATATTCTAATTTTTTCTTCTAGTGACATCTGCCACCGATTTTTATTGTTGATCTTAGAAGTCTTCAAGTAAATATGTTTTTTGCCAACGTCTAGACCGCGTGTACGAAAAATTCAAGAAGGAATACCCTGCTTTGGTCAATCGCGGTTTGGCTTTGTTTCAACAAGACAACACGAGACCACACATTTCAAGGTTGACTGAAGAGAAGTTCAAACAGATGGACAGTGTTCAGATTCTTCCATATCCACCATTCCGTCTTGATGCTGCTTCGAGTGACTATGGCATATTCCGTATAATGCAACACTTCCACCGCGACCAGCGATTAAACACTTTTGATGAATTGAAGGAAATTATTTACAGTTTTTTTTTTATTTAAAGCCAGCGGACGGGTATCTGGGAAAGATTCGGATGCTGGCTGATCGCTGGCAGAAGATCGGCGATAATGACTTTATTTTGAAGAATCTCTCTCTCTCACTCTGTGTATGTGTGTGTGGGGAGGAGTGGTAAGAGATCTGTAATCTCGTCCTCCCCTCCTGCAAGTTTGTGATATTTTAACTTCTTGGCCCGCGCCTGGACAGCCAAACAACAAATCTATTTTTTCACAAAGTCCGGCTCATCCAACGGTGTTAAAGATCCTATCAGAAAGAGAATTTATTTGATTGTATTATTTTGTTTTTACTAGGTTGTCCAGAAAGTCCTGACTCACTCAGGGAGTGGAAAGAAAACAACAAATCTTGATCTCTGTCTGATGGAATTTCTAAAGAGTATTGCATTTCAAGCTCGTTCCAAGCGGTCGCGCCATCAAGGCTAAACTTCATTGCCAGCGGTTAGACTGCGTGCACAACAAATTAAAGAAGGAATATCCTGCTTAGGTCAATCGAGGTTGGGCTTTGTTTCAATAAGACAATACGAGATCACACATTGCCAGGTTGGCTAAAGAGAAGTTCAAACAGATGGACAGTGTTCAGATTCTTCCATATCCACCATTCCGTCTTGATGCTGATCTGAGTGACTATGTATGCCACACTTCCTTCGCGGCCAACGATTCAACACTTTTGATGAATTGAAGAAACTTGTTCACAGTTTTTTTTTTATTCAAAGCCAGCGGACTTGTATCTGCGACAAATTCAGATGCTGCCTGATTGCTGGCAGAAGATCCTCAAGAATGATGGACTTTGAAGAATAAATGTTGGTGTTGCTCCATAAAATTTTGTTGTTTTCTTTCCTCTTACGAAGTGAGTCAGGACTTTCTGGCGAGCTAACGTATTCTTGCGTAACAATACACACGCACGCATTGACCCATTTACAAAGTATTTTTTTTTCTTTTGGGGGGTGGGGAATTGGGTTTTGTCCTTATCGTCAATGTGCAGAAATTGGCGTCCCCATGACCTACTTTTCCTTTCTAACTTATTTATTTCCTGAAACACAGGCAAGCGTCTTTTTTCCGCATGTGCCGTCAGATTTGCAGGAAACAATGCACACGTAGACGGTAGATATTTCTCTTGTCAACCAACAAGGAACACTCTTTTCCATTTTTGATGATTCATCTGTTAAGTTGTCCAGTAATTCTTCATTTATCATCTTTTTTTGTTATGAAGAAAGCAAATGTGATTGACTTTGAACAGAAATGGACGTTAAATTCCCCAGCGTCTTTCTTCGTGTGCCTCTCTCTCTCTCTCTCTCTCTGTTTAAACTCTTCCTCAGTACACTTGCGGGAAAAAAGGCGTCAACCGTCAACGAGTAAGTCCAGGGAAATTTTATCCATTTAACCTTTACAGTGATCCGAAGATGCCAACTACAATAAGCATCTTCGAAGCACTTGGCCTAAAGTACTGTTTCCCCTTTTATTTTTTTTTGTCTCTTATTGGTTTACGTGTGCTGATGGCTAAGAATGCTGGGTGTTTGTCTTAAGTATTTGTCATTTTTTTTATTTTTTTTTTTATATTAATTTTTTTTTCTCTTTTCTTTCCAAGGCGGTCAAATTCTGCTGCTTGTGAGATTTTATTCTTGTTGATGTCTTGCGCCCGATTTTTTAGTAACTGGTGCCAAAATTAAGCGTAGAATATATTCTAAGAGCGGAAAAGGAAAGAACCAGCATAAAAAAACGGATACAAAGAAGAAAAATGGAAGAAGAAGAAATGAAAAAGAAAGAGGAAGAAAAATAGTAAAGAAAGAAATGGGAAGAAGAAGAAGAAATGAAAAAGAAAGAGGAAGAAAAATAGTAAAGAAAGAAAATGGGAAGAAGAAGAAGAAATGAAAAAGAAAGAGGAAGAAAAATAGTAAAGAAAGAAAATGGGAAGAAGAAGAAGAAATGAAAAAGAAAGAGGAAGAAAAATAGTAAAGAAAGAAAATGGGAAGAAGAAGAAGAAAAAATGAAAAAGAAAGAAAATGGGAAGAGGAAGAAGAAATGGGAAAGAAGAAGAAAAAGAAATGGAAAAGAAAGAAAATGGGATGAAGAAGAAAAGGAAAATAAAGAAAGTGGGAAGTGAAAGAAGAAATTGGAAAGAAGAAAAAAGAAGAAAAAGAAATGGAAAAGAAAGAAAATAGAAAAAAGAAGAAATGAAAAAGAAAGAAAGAAAGAAAGAAAGAAAGAAAAGAAGAAGAAGAAGAAGAAGAAGAAAAAGAAATGGAAAAGAAAATAGAAAAAAGAAGAAATGTAAAAGAAAGAAAAAAAGAAAGAAAGAAGAAATGGAAAAGAAAGAAAGAAGAAGAAAAAGAAATGGAAAAGAAAATAGAAAAAGAAGAAAGAAAGAAGAAATGGAAAAGAAAGAAAGAAAGAAGAAATGGAAAAGAAAGAAAGAAAGAAGAAATTGAAAAAAGAAAAGGAAAAAGGACTGTAAAACACAACTCGTAATCATGTTATCTTTTTTTACTAACACACATACACACGTATATACATACAGCTAACGACGAAATTACTTGTACACCCAACAATTTTGTAAATTTTTATCCATTTCTTAGAATATAATGCCCGGTTGATATTAGATTTTTTTATGCTATTAAGCACAAAAAAGGAATATAAAACTCAATTTTCAGAAGAATAGATTAAATAAAACAAATTTACCAGACAAATTACGCAAAATAAGAAAAGACTAAATTATACGTACAGTAGAAAATATCGTTTTAAATTGATTGATATCCACATAAAGCCTGTTTGATTGTATCAGTGTAAATAGACATCCTATTTCTTCAAGCCGGGATCGAAACTGGACCGATTTGGCATTAGTTAGAGACACTACTCATAAGCTATCAGTGCCCGGCAGAGAAAGGGAAACTTTTAACGTATTATATACATGATGTATATAAACGCCAAATCAGCAGCTAGAGTGCTGAATTCATAACTGAAGAGCAATGCGCTATAAGCAGTAGCAGGCACTATTTTTAAAAATTCTCTTTCCCTATAATGCTTGATCGGGGAACGAGAGGAAAGCCTGTTTTTCTGTATCACAGCTCATCAGTGAGAGAGAGTGCCTTGAGCGTAAAATGTGCTGATGTTAATAAAACAGTACTCGGTGTAATAAAACAGAGCTGTTAAGTATATACTAATAAATATGCATATTATCCCTCACTGGTATCACGACTCAGGGTCTCACGCTGATTATAAACTGGTCGTTACGTAATTTGAATAAAAATATCTGGATGTAGCAATGCTGTCGTCGTCCATATATTATACGGAGAAGGAGGTTTTTTTTTTCAAAATATATTTTGCATTTAAAATAAAAGAAATTTTTATTTTATAGATCTTACTTATTATAAAACGCAGATTGTGTGTGTGTGTGTCTCTACGTTTATATATTAGATCGGATTTCCTACATTTTTCAACCGATTTCAACAAAACTTCACAGGAATGCATAAAATTACCTTGCGGTGGTTCCAACAGTGCCAAAAATGGGAAAAACACAATTGTTTTTGGACGAAATCAATTTGAAAACACGATAAAACACGATTCTGTCGTCAGAATGAAAGGGAGACAACTCATATCGAGTTATACTTATCATAAAACCCAGGTTGTTTATATGTGGGATCGGGTTTCCTACATTTTTCAACCGATTTCAACCAAACTTCACTTTTTTTTGGCAGGTAGTGTTTCTCATGGTCTTGCACACTTTTTTCTTTATTTTTACATTCAAAATGCTTTAAAAATTCCATTTACAAGACAATTGTTTATAATAAAAATTCTATTCAATCGATAGACTCATAACGATTGAAAACAATGTTTTTGTTTGAGTTTGGGTTTGACCAATTCGTAAAAAAAACAAAAAAAAAAAAAAAAAAAACTAATGAAGACATGCGTGTCCGTCAACCTTAAACAATAATCTTTGTCAATTTTATTTTTCAGTCTTTATGATGGTCGATACTTGATCTATCTCTTACTGTTACATCCCCGGGCAACGCCGGGCTCTACTGCTAGTATATAATAAATTAATTAATTATTTCTATTTAAAGACGTAAATATTATTGTTTTATTAAAATAATCAATCAATAATTTCTTGGAAGTTGGTTGGGCCGTGACACACACACACACACACACACACACACACAGAGACATATATATATATATATATATATATATATATATATATATATATATATCGTAAATATAGCGCTGGTGATCGAATTTCCCCCTTCCCACCAGCAAAAATAATCAAACACAAACAAGCATAAATAGATTAAATTTTGAAAAATAAACCATTTAGTCTGATGATCGCAAAAGCGTGAAACACAGGGTCACATACTCATATAAATACTAATGAATATATATGGTCTATATATATAATCTCTACTAGATAGATAGATAGATAGAAAATATAGTTTTAAAACTATATTTTATCATGTATCTTTTCGCTCATTTCATTTTGTTTTTCTTATATGATATAACGATATATAATTTTGTATAATTTTATATATACACTATTTATATTGTTCGGACTATTGTCCTCATATTTGTTGCACATATTTAGCTTCGGCTGTTGTACGCTCAGGGCTTCAATATATATATATATATATATATATATATATATATATATATATATATAAGTATATGATTGGTGTATACGGAATAAATTCCGATAACCAACAATTACTTTTGTTAAAATAGTGCTCAATACAGAGTAGAGCGAATGTACTTATTTATTTAAAAATTATAACATAAATATGTTACAAAAATAGGCATTTTATTTCAACATCTCTGGTGTCTTATCATGTGATGATGTTGAATGAGGCACCAGAGGTGTTGAAACAAAATGCCTAGTGTAGTGATTTTATAACATATTTAAGTTATAATTTTTAAATAAATAATTATATATATATAACTATTTATATAAGTTGACCAAGGAATAATTACACTTTTGTTACGGTATATTAAATTTAATTTTCTGTTTTGGATCCTTTTCTGGTTTCTGCTAAAACTTCTTTAACATAACGACATGACAGGCGGAGAGCTGATATTAGAAAGGCAAAAAGATGGAACTTCTGAAAGACGAACGTGGCAAGAAATTGGCCAAATTAGAATATGTTCCGGAAACGAGAGAAATAATTCGGAACATAGAAAAGAATATAAATTCTTAAAAAAGACTTTCGATGTTCTTTAATATATATATATATATATATATATATATATATATATATATATATATATATATATATATATAATGTCTCCCGTCGGTTTCGGCGTATGAGGATCTGACAGCTTATTGATTCAGTTATGAAAGTTTGTGCGATAATCTTAAGTGGCATTTAAGACCCGCTAGTGATTTACAAAGGAGGTCACATTTGGACCACGTGTGAGGATTGTGAGATGAGATCACTGTTAGATTGGCTGACCTTTTAGTTCTTGCTCTCGCTTCTTGAAAATGATTCAGACAAGCAGATTGAAAACTGCTGAGTCCACTAAAACACGTTGATCTCCATTCGACCCGCTCCAAGGCTAAGCGCTCAAGGGTGTTATGTGGTATATTGACTGCTGACAAGTTGCTTTTCAGCTTGTCTTTGTATCTTAGCCATGGGCGTCCTACATTCCTGTAACCCTGATCTAACTGGCTGTACATTAGGATCTTGGATATCCTGTCATCAGACATTCTCAAGACATTACCATGATATATATATATATATATATATATATATATATAGTAAAAAATTAAAGAAATATACACTACCACAACTGACACGAATAAAAAACAATCAAATTAATACTGCAAAGAATTTAAAACCTTATCCTCAAAAATAACAACACAGCAGCAAAATCAAAATTACAACGAACGAAGATTATCTATGAGTTCAAATGACCCTTAGGCATACGTTACACCTATCTGACCACACCTCCATCAGAAGCTATTTAAACACACACACAAACTTACCAGTCTCCATCCGAAACATACTAGTAAAAATGACAAACATAATAACTTCATCCACTTGTAATAAAAGATTAAAAATAATGGAAGCTCTAATAATAAAAATGAAAATGCCAACACTTAACAATATTAACTACGAACACGGCCAGCGTGCTGACTGTGTTCGGAAAATAAAACATGTCTATAACATTAAAAACATACACACAACGCACAGGTCTGTATCCAAGAAAGAAAGTACTTTTTTGAACACAAAAAGAATTAAATAAAAAGTTTAATCGTAGTACCTTGTCTGTTGTTTTCAATGAAACATGCATATATATATATATATATATATATATATATATATATATATATATATATATATATATATATATGTATGTATGTATGTATATATATATTTTTGAACAAGAAAAATATCGAGAAATTAAAAAACAAAATTTTCACCCACACTATTAATATTTTTGTTTTATTGTTTCAATTAAATTCCTGGAATAGTTTCGACCAGCATGCCCATCATCAGGAGAAAAAAAATCTGCGTGTTAGTAGCAGTGAACTACAGAAATGAATGACTTTCTGAAGAAATAATTGAACTTTATCTGTAGTTTTCATTTGCTTTTTTATTGTTAATTTTGGTCAGACCTTGTGTTGGTCAAACGGCCCTGTTAAGTTTTAGGTATATATATATATATATATATATATATATATATATATATATATATATATATATATATATATATATATATATGAAGAAATATAATTTTAAGATATGCTATATTTATGGGATAATGTGCTCAATATCAGAGATTGAGCGTATGTAAATATAAAAGTGAACATTGAAGTCAACACTTAGAGACGACAGACTGTTTCATGCTCGACGCAATCGTCAGGTGGCCTGACTATTGCATCTAGCATGAAACTACCTGTCGCCTCTAAGTGTTGACTTCAATGTTCACTTTTATATATATATGTGTGTGTGTGCGTGGTTGTGTCAGAGAGAGAGCGTGTGTGAGTGAGAGAGAGATAGAGAGAGAGAGGACGACAGAGAGGCAGAGAGAAAAAGTGAAAAAGAAAGACAATTCAACAGAGAGAGAGACGGCTTTCGAGGCGTGCCGTAGCTATACTTACATCTTTTTTTTTTCTCTTCTTTTTAGTGTCAGCCATGAGAATTGTGACTTCTTTACCGTCTGTTTTAGCTCATTTTTTCTCACTTTTCCATGACTTGCTCACGGCTTCAGCCTGACTGACTGGGTCATGGGGTTTCCGGTGAAATGGACAAAGAATCGTCGTTATTTTCGGCCAGTCACGAGGCGAGATCAGGTGTAAAAATGCGTCTGATGTCAACAGAATGGAGACATCGATCCATTTTAACAGATCAACTACATATTCTTCAAAGAAATGCTCGGTGAAGAATACGTAATACTTCCATATACAACACAGATATAATTTGGGCTTAAAATGAAATATATATTCCTCTTCACTCCATGTATTTTAATCTGGGAGGCTTCTCA